ATGGCTATCTCTATCCTCTAGGCATTCACAATAGAAAAGAGTCCCTCTGTCCTTCTTTAGTTTGTTTGCATGAGTCCTGTGAAAAAAAATCTAATTCTGGGGGTCCAGACTTTGATTTTTGGCCATTTTGGGGGCCCTATGTGTGTCCCAGATGCCTGTTAGTGTTAGTGTCGAGCCCTGGCTTACATGTATGTACATGTAGATGGATTATTCAGACCCGTTCATGAAGGCAAAGCTGTGAAAGGCTGCTTTTAAACAAGGGTACTGGTTTACATTTTTTTGTAGAACAGAGGGGGGGGGGGGAGGGGGGGGGGGGCTCATAAAGAAAGGAAGGAGGACCCAATTGCATCAGCCATCAGTGAGGTCCATTGTGAGGGTAACAATTAGTCCCCCTCGCTTGGCTACTCAAGCAAATGTATAGCGTTCTAAGGAAAGACCCCCAGCAATTTCCTGTGATGTAAAAGAGGCTAAATTGCTGATTTCACACGTTGAATTTGAAATTAGGGCAGAATTGTATCGACAGCAATGCATGCATTGCTGTCATGTAACATTTTACCACGATCGTATACACACTACGTTTCACACATTATTATTGTGATGTAGAACAAAATGCAATAGTATCACTACTTAATGTAATTCAAATCAGTCCTAAATTTCAATCTGTTGGAACATGTCAAAATGTCCTTCAAGAAATGAAATTATGCAACAACTAAAGAATAGAAATAATAAGTCCCTAGTGCAATGAGCCTATATAAGCAGGTTAGTGGGGACTACATGTACCATAAAGTAAAAAGGGATTTTACTAAGCATCAATACTGCCCGTTCATTAGTGACTGCAATTTAAACTCACTCAATAAAATAAGGAGATTATTAAGATCGTTTGCAGGCAACACCTTTGTTCTCCTTCATGGAGTCAAGCACTGAGACAGACTGCACGTATTATACACTTCAGAATTAATCCGTCAATCCTATTGTATGGTTTGGAGATTATCTCCTTTTATGGGTTGGTCTTCTATATTGATCTGACAATAAGTGACTCTCTCATTCTTCATGGTTCTTTGTGGAAGGTGCCATATGCACAAACAATGCAAAAACTTACTTCTAAGGGCAGGATTTCTCACAAGACAAGATCATAGTTCACTGGGAACATGCAGATATGCAGTTTCACTTTGACTTCATGAGTACAAAATACATGTACAATTGAAACTAGGCCTGAGTCATGTCGGGATTTTCATAAACCGGGTCCCGACGGCCTTGTACCGATCGGGACCCGGTGTCCCGAAATCAGCTCGCAGGATTTGCCACTTGCCTCTATAAAAAGCGCATATCATCAGTATGTCCCTTAAAAGTGACCTTTTTTATCAATTAAATAAATCAACACATGCATACCTCGGCTCAGATCGGTATATTCTTCCATTTGACATTATTTTCATCCATGATTGGCGATGTTTAGTGCCATTTAGTGCCTCTAAAAGTAAAAAAACTGGGGCAGAAATAGAAAGACAACATTCGAGCCGCCATTTTGATTCATGCAGGTTGAATAAATCTGGTCAAAAAATATGAAAGTTAGAATAATAAAACGGCTTTTTAAAAATTTCTTCTGTACTATACCGATCATATAATATTTTAAAGACAAAATAAATATTTATCTCTTATTTTAAACATTGCATGCTTTTTTTTTGAAAGCTGAAAATTACTTGGTAATCAAGAGTTTCGATACGGATAGCTGTTGCAAGGCAAGTTCAGACTAGTATCGGAAAAATGCGCAGTGCTCCTTGTAATTAGCTGTAATGCGTGCCAGAACGAACCCAAACAAAGACGTGATCGTAACGAGAAAAAAATCATTAAAAACTACGAGAGCACAATTGGAAAGACAACTACTACTCAAAATTACCATAATCAGATAGATAACTTGGACAATGAATTTAAAAATCGCCCAAGAAATGCCACAGAAATTGTGATAATCGAGGAGTAACTGGGTACATTTTTATCGCAAGGGGCCTGCTGCAAATACTCGAATCCTTTGTTATACTGCTTTTTACCGTAGAGGGCGTTATTTGCCTCGTATAGCCTCGTGTTCAATTTAAACACGTGTAATTCAGATATTGCAGCAGGCCCTTCCGATAATGATTGTACCTATAGTAACTCCTTAAATATCACTATTTATGTGGCTTTCCTTGGACAACTATTGTTTTCTTCCTCCAAGTTATGTATCTGATTACGACAATTTTGAGTAGTTGTCTTTCCAATTGTGCTCTCGTAGTTTTTAATGATTTTTTTCTCGTTACGATCACGTCTTTGTTTGGGTTCGTTCTGGCACGCATTACAGCTAACGAGGAACACTGCGCATTTTTCCGAGACTAGTCTGAACTTGCCTTGCAACAGCTATCCGTATCGAAACTTCTTGTGATTACCAAGTAATTTTCAGCTTTTAAAAGAAGCATGCGGTGTTCAAAATCAAAGAAAAATATCTATTTTGTCTTTTAAAAATTATTCGATCGGTATGTTGAAAAGAAGTACTTTTTAGAAAGCCGTTTTATTATTCAAACATTAATGTTTCTCTCAACCTGATTTATGAATCCTGCCGAGAGACCCGGCCAGTACAGTAGCTAGCTAGCAGCTGGCAACAACAACCCCATGGGGCGAACTGCCTTGCAACCCATATATTTATATCAGCAGTTCGGATTGATTCAGGATGAGCTAGAATATGATTGGTAACAATTAAATACTTAAGTTTTAAGGTGGATTGATTTTAGTGGTGTGCAAAACTGCAATTTCTTACATATTTCGTTATTATTTTCGGAGCGTCGGTTCTCAAAAAACGAAACCGGGACCCGACGGCAACGGTCGGGTCCCGGTGTGATCGACCGTACCGACTCAAGCCTAGCTATTGAACGCTACAGATAACGTTGCACATACAAACATAGACATATAACATACATGTAGATGTATTTAGGTACACATGCAAGCATTCATAATGTCAAAGTGGACTTTCCTAACAAACAGATGTATGGATTGCATTGATGAATCATGTCGATCCTTGAACAGCAAAAAAAGATATATTACAAGTCACAACCTATGTACAATAAATGTAGTTATTATACCGGTAATATCTAAATTTCACAATTCACTATTGAATACATGCGTAGATTAATTCATGGCTTTATATTCTACATTCATAAAGGTAGCACAAAATTTGTATGATCATATATTCTTAGTACATGTAACTATTTCTCAAATTTGTCTCTTCTCAGTACTTTATGATATCTAATATTAATATAATGATATGTTAATAAGCCTCAAACAAGCAATAATACATATTGCAAATTACAAGTTAACGTTATCAATTATTAATTAAATTTCTGCCAAGCAATGAATAACTATCTTAAATATAAGATCATGAAGAAATAGACTTGTCAAATGTTTTAGGGAAAAAATGCACATCATCTAGTCTCTTGATCCATCAGACATTAATAGCCCGGCTTTGTTCCACCACTAGAAGTCTAATTAATTTATGGAATCAGAGAACATGGAAGACTCCATCTCACCAGACAGTCTAAACATGATAACATATCATCTGGAGACAAGAATATAATAAACCTTCTTGTGAAACACCAACGCCTGACTGCATCCAACCATATCCACCCCCTGCATCTGCATGATGTAATTTGAGAGCACATCATGTATGACTGAATTTTTGACATAGAGCTTTACATGAACTATGTCATTTATATTTATTATGTTGAGTTCCCAGTTCCCAATTTTCAATTCCCAACATTCTGGTTTGTTGAAAAACACATCTACATGTGTATAGAGCAGCAGTTTTCTGATGAAAACAAATTAAAAGTGTAACAACCAGCTATACATCTTTTGCTCTTGGTGTACAGGGTTATACTATAAGCTTCAAATAATTCTTCTATTGTATTGCGGTTTTAAAACATACCCAGTCAACTTGTGGAGTAGACTACAGTACTTCAGACCTGGGTTCCATGTGAGTCCTGGGTTTTAATGTTATCATTTTTTTTAATGCATACGTCCTTAACCATTTACCTATAGAAGTAATAGAATGCCAGGTGAAGTTTTTCAGGTTGATTTGATACATTCTATCTACACAAATTATTTTCAGGTGATAGGTACCGGTACACTTTAAAGAAAAGGTCGAGTTCTAGGAAGGGTGAAAAATAATTTATGAGAGCTATCATTGTTATTGTGCAAGTGTGGAAGAACATCAGATAAAACATGTTCCCTGAAAAGCATGGCTCTTCAAATGCCTTTATAGTCTAAAAATATGTAACAATAAAAATCGGGACAGATTTTTATGCCACATGTTCGTCTAGTCCCATAACCCCATACCAAAACTTTGTATTACCTTTAAGAGAGCTATTTTACTCTAGGCGCCAGTGAGATCCGGTATGTCATAAAAGTCTCATAAATGTTTATCTGTCTCCCTGATGTTATGGTTACATTAATCGCATTTACTATCCGCTTTATAACACTTTGTTTATTGGTTGACAAATGTATATGACTTCTGAATATTGTGTTGAAAGACACTTTTGGTTTCAAACAAAATTGCACATTGAGTCCAATCTACATTTATGAGTGCACACACACATTTTTATTTGTAATGATGTTGATATATTTTTTTATAGTTTGATTAGTTATCTGTTGAATATTTTCAAAAGAATCACGTTTATGGAATATTTTCTGAATTTTATGCCATGTCTTCTGTAATCAAATCTATAAAATATGTAATGATCTCCATAATGACCAAATAATATGAAGGATCTTGTTTAGTGTAAACAACTAATGTTCACAGAGTATGATTACGTGCAGGAAATGAACGTGTTCGTTACCGTTTTACTAACAGTCTGAACTCTAAATTACTACATATACCGGGTATATGTGTGTACTGGGGTTTAGTAGTTGGTAGGTGATTGTGGGGCTACATTTGCATAATATAATATATTTTGAAATAGAAAAAAAAGAAATAGAAAACATTACAAATTAAGATTTTTTTTAATTTTAGCAGCAAGTCAGCAACAGAACCTCATTTCGCAAGAAATATTGACAGCAAATCTATAAAATCCTTGACACAAGCAATAAAAGGAACGAGACAGTGATATTGACACAGATATCTTTGTCAGGAGGAATGCCACATGAAAGAGATAATGAGACAAGATACTTATAAAACTCAAAAACAGGAACTGGAACTACACTGTACATGTACTTAGTCTGAATTATGAATCAAATTTTAGTCTGCATGTTGAACTATCACATTTTGTGTTACCGGGTACCTATGTTCAAGTCAAATGTTCTATTCTGTACCCATCTGTATCGTATTGATGTTTATAATCTATAATCTTGTACTGACATGTAAATGAAACAAATTTCCAATGATTGGACAATAAATTTGAATATGAATGAATATGAATATGAATAAAAGTTTGAAACAAAACCTGTCATTCTGACAAAAGTATTTCAGGCACATTCACTTTAAAAAATACAAAGGTATCTTTCTTCTTCTTGACCAAACAAAAATCAGTTCCCACAATCACCATCATCCACTTCTAAAAGGTGTCTCACTAATGAACATATCTGACGACAAAATGCATTTGAAGAATAAAAGATAACAAGAGCCAAGCTCACAATGACGGAAATTAAAATGATGAGACATGATTAGCAGCAGGTGACAAAATACGAGCGAGGGCTTTCCCTCCACCCGACAAGAAGTAATCATCCTCCGCTCACTCTCCTGAATCCACCTTTATCTCAGTTCACCCACCGTGATGGAATGGTGACTCATTGCTTTATTCTGAGAGCAAAACGTCATATTTGTTACATCACAGAATGTAATTCATGTGTTAATCCCATTTCATCCTTCTTTTTATTAAAAAAAAAACAACTTCCAGTACGTGTAAATCTATTGGATTAATTCAAACATCAGGAGTTTGTAATAAAATATATTGTGATTAAATCTTGCTTGTTCTATATCTCATGATCCTATCTCTTGAAAGGCCAATTCATACTATACAGCATACATCAGGAGGTAAACCCCTTTTAATTATACTGGCACAGAAAATCAAAATAAATCAGCATGGTGTGGTTCCCAAAATTGTGTCTGGTACAACACAATATCAGCTATATTTTTCAGCAACAAAAATGAATACGGTGCCCCTTCCCATTAATTAATTTTGCTGTTTTGTCGTTATTTTTTCTTACATATTTCTTCTCCATTTAAGTGGTTTATTGTGTCATGTCTGAATAGGGGCTTCAAAGTATGTTATGCAAACTGGTGCTAATGATGACACATGTATGCAGGAAGAAGAATGGACAATGAGTGATGCGATCACGATCAGCCACTTGTTGCATTTGTTACCATAGCGATCACTATATTGTGGCTCCAGTGCCATTTGAATTATACTGAACTGTACTCCCAATGAGTACCGTCCCTACAGGAAGCCCTCATTCAAACCTAACAAGTCCTCTGGTAGAAAGATACCAGCAAGTGGCAACTCAAATGTAAGCATATATGGGAAATGAAATGAAAGTCAGAGGACAGAACAAAAAATAGGAATATCCTAAATCAAAATGACATCATTCCACAGCTCTATGACTGTGAACACAGTGCAGCAGATCCATTGATCATTTATAAGTAAATTTGGAAAATATCAAAATTATCTTACCTGAGACTTGAACTGTGAACTGAATCGTCTGTGGGATATCTGATCCTCTGAGAGTAGGATTGAGTCTGATTCCACCTGTGGTCGTGTTAAGCATCAGATGCTGATTGGTGTTCCCGCTCGTGATCTGATACGTCAAGGTGTCAGAAACATCAGGGTCCGTTGCAGGAACCCGTCCTATATCCTCCTCATGAAAGTATCCTACATAATTGTTAAAATAGATCTCAAAGTCTCCAAGGATGGGTGCATTGTCGTTGACATCGAGAACCTGGATGTGAACCGTAGCTTCAGCAAAATATGGGACGTTCGTCGCATGGACGATGATCTCGTACTGATTCCTGGCTTCGTAGTCAAACATTTCCAAAGAGATGACCAGTCCGGTGTCCGGGTTGATTTCAAAGAAATCCTGATCACCCCTGACGATGGTGTACTGGACATGAGCGTTGAATCCAGAGTCGGGATCTGAGGCTACCAGTTTCATCACCTGCTCCCCAGGATCGCGATTCTCATTGATCGTAACGTAGTAGTCCCGTTCACCAAACACTGGTGGATTGTCATTGATGTCAGTGATTTCTACCGTTATCTCGGCTGAGGTCCTCAGTGATGGTACACCCTGGTCATATGCATAAGCCACCAGGATGTATTCGGCTTGGTACTCACGATCGAGCATAGAGGCAACCCGTATGACACCTGATGTCTCGTCAATTGTGAATCGTCCTCCCCCACTATCACCATCTACGAAGGTGTACTTGACATCACTGTTTGAACCTATAATGCATATAGAAATAAGAAAATTGGAAAATTAAAGTTTGTTTCTGTCTCACGATACAAAACATTTAGTCAACTTCAGTCGTCAGAAAAACACATTTATTGTAAATTGAAATTACTTAATTTTAGAACAGCTTCTAAAGGTCTGTAAGACAAGAGATTTGTTTTCACTTATTTGTTTGCCCATCTTTCGACAAGAAAAAGATCTTCCTATTTAAAGGGAAATCATTTGGTAATTAGTAAATATTGTGAAAGTTTTTATGATATCAATGATATAAATATTGTTTGGATCCTGGAAAGAATTTTGATCTTATTCTTAGTAGTTGAATATAAAAAATAGTCTTTTCCCCTTGATTATCTTTTCTTTGCATTATTTTTTTGGAGTTTTTCTTGTTACTTTGAAGTTACCCTGCGTTGAACCTTTTCATTCAAACACACATTCACAATTTGTGTATTTTCCCAACTCTGGCACCGGTTAAACACATAGTGTATCAACAAGAATAATTGGAATAACAAGAAATAAATGAAGGATAAGATTTAGACTGTTCTAACGAAAAAAAGGTGAAGATACTCTTAATAGTACGCAATGATGTAATCCCACCGCTGCCACCAGTTATAGGCCACTATGTAACTTTTCATATCAATTTTGATAAATGAGGTATTTCCCTGGTCCTGAGGTGTTCATTTGTATGAGGTTCATTTTAATAATGTGTAATATACATGTATAGCGCCAGGCCTTAAAAACAATTTTTTAAAGAAAATATGTAGTCCATGACTATTGGAGGAGCAGGTGCCTTTGAATGTTTGAAACAGATACATGTAAATGGCGTCATACAAGTCCTGTGGATCATCAAATACCTTAACTACTTTGCACACATATTGACAGAGCATTTTAACAAGATAACCATTAATAGTTGCACTCTGCTCAATTAAAACCATCACCCACTTAAACACTACTGCCATTAAAGCTCTCCAACATGTACACACATTCTAATGACCATCTATAAAGTATGCAGATACACACACAAAATAAACCAATTTACAATAGAGATCATGAATCAATGGAGGTCTGGTCCATTGACTCATCCTGTTTGGACTCAGTTACATGAGCATCATGGTGCTCTATGGATGGCTGCTTTTAGCGATAGAATTTGAATATCAATAGATACACCTTTTGTGAATGAGGGTTCAGAGATCCTACACACACACACAAACATCACACAATAAGAGATTGGGCTTAGCCAATCAATGCCAATTATCATTCTTGATCCTCCCTTGGATTGGTGAAAGCTTGGGAGTAGAAAGATAATCAAACATGTGGCTTTTTAAAAATCCCCCATGTCCCATTGCTTCTCTTTAATTGTTTTGCAGATAGCACATGATAAGAATTTGTATGATTCTGGAAGTCTCTGATACACTTGAACTTTCTTGAATTATAGTAATATTTTGATCACAGATAAGCAATTGTCAAGGACCTTAGTATAAAACTCTGAACATAAATTAGTTTGTCAATGAAATGTCAACTAATATGAATTTCCCTACAAGTTTTCACCCAAGTTTGTAGGTTGTTCCACAATGAAGTAGACTCATTCATCTTTCCCCTCTGCTATATCTAAAAATTTCTACCCCTTTTCCCCTGTTTCTGTTCCTTGCTTATAATTTGCTTAAGATATGAGGACAAAACAAAGTTATTACTGAAACACGATTTTAATTTTAAAACTTAAATATGTAATTATATATCACTAAAAAATTATTGCCTTATCAAGCTATATTATATGTTGGCAAAGGTAATTACTCTATAACCTAGAACCTACCTACATGTAAATAGTGCAGAGTTGTGATGCAGCTCATAAATTCAATATGATCTACAATCGAGTAATGGTTGATGAGTACAGGTGCATATCAACATCTTTATTTTACTTCTCATTTAAGTAGGCCTACACATTCAAAGAGTAACATTTGATATTTGAGATCTATAAGCCTTGTATACATTTGTAGGTAACTCATCTTGGAATTGTCATTGTCCCTCTATCTACCGGTACATGTATGTAAACTTCAAAGCATGATCATCCTGACTCATATTTTCTGTTGCAAATAAATAATGTATCTTTTATGGTGTATAAATTTGTATAGAGGTAGTGTTACATGCACATGTGACAGTGTACATGTACTGTATATGAACGATGTACATGTACACTGTAAAGTACTGTAGTCATCACATTACTGCTTCACCAGTCGGACCAAAGATCTGGCCTAGCTGTCCGCTGCATCTCAAGGGTCATTTTAGCTGCCTCTGCTGCATAGGTTACCATGGGAACTACCTACTTTATTTTTCCAGGTGCTTCAGACCAGCATACATGTATTTTATAAATATGATGATGATGATCCACAGCACTTGTATGGTGCCCTTTATCTGTTTCAAACATTCAAAGGTGCATGGATAGTTGGATACCCATACACAATGGCAAATGCAACACCTACGGCTGTTGGTAGAGTTTTAAGAGACAAAAGTTTAATCAGAATATACATTTTCAAAATTCTTAAATTAACCAAAAAAAATTCTGGAATAAGTTTCAAGGAATCCCCCAGATTACCGCCTCCTAAAAAAAACATTTTAATTTTTTTTTGGATAACATTCACTGTAATATTTTTCTCTTAAATGTTTATAGTTTAGCCTTTCATGTAATGTTACTTCCATATATAAATTGAAATAAATGTGCATAAATCTTTTCTTAATTTTTAGGGCACATTTCTTTAAAAAATTTCGCAAGTCAGATTGGAATGTCTTTTTCCCAATTGTGATTTTATTTTTCAAAGTTATATACAAGTACATAAATATTTGGATGACAGTCTGTAAAAAACCTAAATTATTCAGCCCTAAAAATATCAGGCCCTTGTTGTTTCTTCACTCCATAAACTATATACCGTAAATCTCCGTGTATAAGGCGCAATTTTTTGCCGCCAAAATAATTGAAAGTAGGGGGTGCGTCTTATACACGGGTACAGAAAAAAACAGATTTTTTTTTTTTTTTTTTTTTTTTTTTTTTTTAAAGTTTCGATTTATGGTGCTATGCCTGGCAATGTCTCCCAGCTCAGTAATCGGTGTGTTAACTCACTACTCGGAAACTTTAACAACACTCAAATTTGTCTGTCATCTTGATTTGAAAGTAATCTTTCTAATAGATCTCAATATGTATAGTTTACATGTATAATAATAATTCCTCCAAAAAAAATTTTATTACACATGGTGTACCACAAGGTTCTATCCTAGGTACTCTATTGTTTTTAATTTACATTAATGATCTTACACATTCTTCTAAAAACGACATTGTTACTATTATTTGTGACAAATTCACAAGCACAAATCGGCGCCTTCAACTGCACCTCGATGTTAAATGAAGGTCCTTCCCCGCGTGGGTTTTCGGCAACAAAACAACAACAAAAAAACAAAAAATGTCTTATACATGGAGATTTGCGGTATTGTAATATAATAGTTTTGTCTAATTATATTTAAATTAAAACTCAACAAATTCATTTCCTTTCCCAAAGGTACATGTATTTTCCCAAGAAGATTGGAATGTCTTCTACCAAATAAAGAATCTCAAATCACATTCAATTCATTCTCTTTATTCTCCAAGTCAGGGCATTGTAATTACGGACATCGACTTTTGTATCGTCTGGCACCTACTGCCTAAAGTCCACAAAAACTGGGGTTTTCTTTTCTCAGTGCCCCTCTGCATGCACACTCCATCAATGAGTAAATAGACAGAACAACCATACAGTCCAATGGGTGTGAGTCAACACTTCTGGACTCCCTTTGTCCCATGCTAAAATCGCATTTGAATAAAAGAGTCCCTTTTGTACACATGCGTCTGAAGTAACTGCCCAATTTGTGCGGACTATGAAACTTGTCAACATCATCCTTCATTTAGGGAAGATTAAATACTAAAGAATCTTGGTTGCCCTATCTAAGGTTCAAAGTGCTCCACCTGTACCTTGCATACATGGATGCATTTTCCAATCTAAAAACAAAATATTCAAAAATTTCAATAAAACACTAAAAATATCCTGGGAATTTCTCAGGAAAAAAAAATGCATTTTCGCTTTGCATATTTGATAGACAGTACATCTTTTATCTGGTGCTCCTGAAAGAAGATAGATATTTCTCACACTAGAGATATGGAACTGCATTCCAATTTTCAATGGCATTTATGTATAAGACCATCTATTATAACATGTTTAAATGTATGGTATGTATTATCATTTTTGTTGATTTTTTTTGTTGCTTTACAATGTACAGTAGTAAAGCAAAATACAAGCAATTTCTAGATCCAGAACTATAAACACCAAACATCATTTTTTTCAAATTATGTAAACTGCAAACCATTTCTTTTTAAATCTAAAGATGGAAAATTGGATGGCAGTTTACATACTGGTAGATGTTCTTTATTTGCATTGTCCAGCGTGATATCAAATACAGCTTATTTCTCTTGTATATTTCTAAGAGCCAACATAAGGATCTGCATGTACCAAAAAGAATGTAAAGTGAGAGTTCTCTCCATTATATGGGCAATGACCCGCAACATGAAATTAAATCTCATATCATATGTACACTGTAGATTAGATGACTTACAATTCTAGATGTAATTCAGTATCTGCATAAAGAAGTACTACCGGTAGTAATACTGTCCCTGCACACGGCGTATCTTTGATCTGTCTGCCGCCATCTTCCTAGGTTTACAACATTTGCATAAGTTGAATGATGCTGCCTGATTACTGATCGAGCACTTTGTTGGATTGTTGCAATGGCAAAGGATGCATAGAATATGTTTCCATGATCGGTGAAATACAGTTGATCCCCTAGAGTTAGAACTCCTTCCTTAAATTTAACTGAATTATTCCCTTCAGTCTCTACCTCATGTACCAATCAATTGTAACATAAATGTACATTTCTTTTAATTACAAAGTATATATCAAGTCCAGTATAATTAACAGCACATGTATGTTATAGACTGCCTCAAATATTATAAAATCATAAAAAGTTACATTTAAAGTCATATTCAGCCTCCATAAGCATTGCCATTTATCATCGTTCTTAAATAAAATATAATACGCAATATAATTTTTGTTGAATAATCTAGAACCTTTACTTATATTTCCTCTAATTTTTTTAAAATCTTTTTTTAAATCCCAATTTATTTAATAACTTTGTAAAACAGCTATTACATGTAGCTAACAAGAGCAATCGGACCCAAGAGTGGTGAATAAATAAATCAAATCAAATCAAATCAGTAACTGCAGGTTTAAGGAAAGAATTACTACGAGTACATTTAAGGGGCAAATTTAGATAGCATTGTAATTAGTAATAATAAGCAAAATGGCAAAAAAATGGCAAATATAACGGCACAATACTTTGGGGGGCACTCAATGAATCATGCAGGTCTACATGAACACAGCTTCATTTAGTTTTAGCAACCTCCTTCTCATGACTATTAGGATCAGGGACTCAAGGAGATCTTGTTAAAATCCCACTCCCCAAGAAAAACATTTCATTTATAAAATTACATGATAATCACAGTGAAGAGTTTAAAGGACTTAAATAAATTTTCCTTGCAGTTCATTTAAGACTTCACAAAATGAATGGTATAGTAGAACATAAATAACAGGAAATACTATTTGTATGAAAATAATTGATACAAACCTTGATCAGCATCAGATGCAGACATCGTGATGACACTAGAATAGGCTGGAGAATTCTCTTGGATTTCGGCGGTAAAGCTGGTCTGTTCAAACACTGGAGCATTGTCATTTATATCCTGGACTGTGACTTGAACAAATGCTCTTGACTGCTGCGGGTTTATTCCATGATCACTAGCAGTCACGTACAAGGTATACGACGAGATCTCTTCACGATCTAACAGAACCTTGGTGACAATCTCACCACTCTCTTCGTTGATTTCAAACTCAGGAGAAGGATCCATACTGTAGCTTACTTCAGCATTAGCACCGGCATCATTGTCTGCTGCAGACACTGTAACAATAACCTCTCCGATGTCAGCACCTTCGCTGACGTAAACATTGTAGGGCGAGTTTTGAAATACTGGAGCAAAATCATTAACATCGGTTACGTTGACGTACACAGTACAAGTGCTTTCAAACTGCCTGTCTGATGCTGTAACTGTCAGAGCATAAAAGGACTTGCTATTGTAACTCAGTTGAGATGTGACAGTAATTGTGCCTTCATTGTTCTGGGTAAGGATGTTGAAAGGGATACGACCAGTAGGGTCAAGTGCATCTACTATCCTATAGGAGATAGTGTTCTGTTCATCAGGATCTGTTGCTGTAACGGTTATCACCTCAAAACCATGGTAAGCATTTTCAGCCACTGCAGCATGGTAGACTTCTTCAGAAAAGATCGGAGCGTTGTCATTCACATCAGTTACAGTGATGGTGACTGAAGCAGTCGACGAACTGGGGGATTCCCCATGATCCACAGCAATAACATTAAACTCCCAACTATGTCCAGACTCTCTGTCAAGACTGACACTGTTTGTTATAGCACCAGAAGTAGGATTAATTTCAAAAGGAAAGTCATTGGGAGGGTTTGGGATAGAGAATGTTATCCTGGCATTTTCCAACTCATCATCATCTCTTGCCATCACAGACAATATGGAGTGCCCGACATCAACATCTTCCCTCACTATACCCTGGTAAACATTCTGGGAAAACTGAGGACTGTTGTCATTCACATCCAACACTGTTACTGTGACAGTCGTGGTGTTCTCCCTTGGTGGATTACCAGAATCTTGGGCACGAATGCTCAGTCTGTAACTTCTTGTAGTTTCAAAGTCTAAGGAATTTTGAAGGGAGATGAAGCCATTGACCGAATCAATCCTAAAGCGGTTTTCAAAGTTGCCGTGGGTCAGACTGAAGTGGACATCAGCATTTGAGCCTTCATCTGCATCTGTGGCCATGACATGCAGGATCTGGCTTTCAGGGTCACCTGGACTGACATCCTCCCGTACAGATACCTCATAAGTCAACTGAGAGAAGTGTGGTGAGTTGTCATTCAAGTCAAGAACTGTGAGTAGTACCTCTGCCGTTGAATTCCTCTTTCCAGGATCGGTACCCATATCTTGAGCCATCACTAGGATATTATATCTCTCAGTCTGCTCCCTGTCCAGTCGCACCAAGGTCTTGATCTCTCCACTCGTCGGATTCATTGTGAAGACATCATTTGGGCTCTCGTTGTTGACAATGCTGTACCTTATTTCAGCATTAAGTCCATCATCATTGTCTGATGCCCGCACCCTGACAATCAATGTTCCTGGATTCTGGCCTTCATTAGTGGTCTCTACATAACTTGGTTGCTCAAAAACAGGAGTATGGTCATTGCGGTCATCTACATTGACTGTCAGGTAAACTTGAGCAGATTTTGGAGGAGTCCCATGGTCTGTTGCTGTGAGACGAAATGAGTGAGATGGAATTTGCTCTCGATCAAGTGCCGTGGTGGTTGTGATTATTCCTGTGTTTTCTTCTACGGCAAACATATTTTGGCTGCGAGCATCACCCAGAGCAACCAGGCTGTATGACAGCCTACCATTATCACCATCATCATTGTCCGTTGCAGTGATTGTCGCCACAACAAATCCTTCATTTTCATTCTCAGGTATTTGACGGCTATATATAGGCTGGCTAAACGTTGGATATGTATTTCTAAGTTGCCTTCTAAAGCGCTTCAGTACCACTTCTCCATTTCCTGATGTATCTTCAGAAAAGTCGGCATTCAAACGATTGGTGTCTGATGCTCGCAACTCAATCAAAATGGGAACCTCTTCATATTTGTCCGACAAGTAAGATGGCGGTTTCGCTAAGCAAGATGATGGAATTTGCACTGATCCACTTATATGTTCCGACTGGTGCTCAAAGACACAAACCACATCTTTTTCTGTGCGTAGTTTACCTGACATAGCATCAAGATCAAAATCATGCTCTTTACCATCACTCAAAATGTATGAAATCGGACAACCTGAAAGTGATTTAGGAAGGAAGTTATTGAGGTTCAGCAAGACATCCCCAGGAAACCAGCAAGTCCCTTCTGGATATTCCATCATGATCTGCAGAGGTCGAGTTGCAGATAAAGGTGTGTGTTCAATATTATCCCTATCAAAATTCTTTTTCTTCGCTTTCTTTGGATGGCAACCGATCCCATGAACAGAAATTGCTATGGGTATCATAACATATGAGCCCACTTTTTCTGAGCCAGTATCTGTAGTTCTTCCACGAGTTTGCACATAAACCAAGAAAGGGTTTTCATGAAGCAAATCACACTCCATTATTTTTGACAAGGATAATTCCCCAGAGTTACTGTCAATTTTAATGTTTTCTTTGGCATCTTCTCCTGTTAATGATGGATGAAGAGCATATGACCATCCACTTCCGAGAGATGCGTTAAATACTGAATATCCCGGCTCCTCATAATTGGATAGATGACCATCGAAAGCTGCGAGGGCCGCCCCGTGAAACACGGCAGCGGCTAGCCACAGGATACGAAGGAGATGAGCCATAGCGGCAGGCAGCTCCATTTCAAACTTTCCGTTCGCTTTACGGAGTTACAACGGAAACTTACGGGGGGCTCTCCCCGTCACAATTGGTCCTTATTCTACTTCACCTTCAGCAATTAAACGCGTCCGAATCTCGAGATATAATCCAAGAAATATATTCACAAATTTATTATCCATTCGGTGAGAATAAAGCCCAAATTTCCATTGTGATTTCTTAAACGGAGTTTCCACCAGTTCTGTTTCCGAAGTCGCTGTTATCTCTTACCCGAATTTTGGCGTCGCCGATCTTAGAGTTTGGAAAATGACTCGAGCCGGTATCATTTTGATGCCTGCACGCGAGATGGCGCAGTAGCTAATTGGAAGATGCGACAGGTGTATATTGGTCTACTACAATGAACTCTCACACTACGTGTAGCGTTAGAGGGGGTTAGAGGATAGTGGTCTAATATGGGCTCATCGATAGCACGGAGGACAAAGTTTATGGTTCGAATCTCATGACGCTTGGAATTATCTTGATAGAAATTGAATTGTTGTAGATTGGAGCAGTGGCAGTGGTGGTTTTGCCGGAGAAACGTGCCCCCTGAATACAATAGGGAGAAATGGGATATTTTTTTTTTTTTTTTTTTTTTTTGGGGGGGGGGGGCATTTTTGGGGGGGCTTTACTCTCTCTCTGTGTTTTTATTTGTTAGAAAATGTTTCACTGAAAATTGAAAATTGGCACAACCTCGCTGAATTGAATTGAGTGGGGGTAGTTGCAAATGCAAGTGAAGGGTATAAAATGGGGTTCACAAATAAAGAGACTAGAGAAGAAGGGAAAGGGGTCGAAGGGAAGGCCCCCAAAAGATGATAAGACACCTCTCTTTTCGTGCCCTATGGTGCACCTAGCTTTTCAAATCTAATTTCCATCCATTTAGTGCAAGTGGTACAACCTAATCCTTGATCGGCCACTCAACACTACACCATTGACTTTATACTTACTTACTTTAAGTATACTTGAGTCTAGAGACTAGAAGCTTAGCTTATTTGTCCCTTTTAACTGTTCCATCCCGTCTCAAGTATGCATGGTTCACTGAAGTTTGATGGGATTGTTTCTCCATTACCTTTCTAGGGATGACTTGGTTAAATGGTGGCAGGATTGACTACTTCCTTAGGCAGGGCATTCCAATTATTTGCACTCCTTATTAAGAAACTATACTGCCTAAGTCCTGTATTGAAATGTTGCTTGATTATCTTGAAATGGTGGCTTCTTAATTGTTGTTGAGCCAGTCCGTGGCTTGTTGGAAGAATTTTGAGGGAATTACTCTGTTGAAATCTCTCAGGATTTTTAATATCTTTAAGGGAGGGGCACCAGCTCATTTTTTTTTTCTGGGGAGGGGATGGTACACTTACCCCGACACTGGCCCCCGGTCCGATATTTCCGCCAATCCATGTTCACTCTGATATAGACCCTATAAAGGACACTTTTGAAACTTTTCAACTATTCCGCCCTCTTTCGGTGTATGCTTTATATTGTACTGAGAGCTCTAGCTACCTAGTCCTAAGCAGAGATAAAATGGGCGGAGGCAACATGCCAGAGTCCAAGGGAAAGGCCATATTTGTTGATAAAAAGAACGAATGGACCGAGACAGGACTCCGATATGCCTTCGCAGGGATATCATGCATGTGTGCTGCATTCGGTAAGACAATCAAACGCGTTTTTGCACATTTCTTTTGTCACATTTTCGGGTACAAAACTTTTCGCCACCGGCCCCTCTGCAGTCCGACATCACCGGTGACTGAAGGGCTGGGTCCCCGATAACTCCGGGAAGCTCCGACGCCGGTGTTGGAGCTTCCAGGAGTTAGGTCTCCGACTACGTCGTAGCTAAAGTCGCTGCTATATGAATATGTCTAAACCTAATTTGTTAGACGTAATTCTAGATCTAACAAGTTAGAGATCTATTAATTTAATGAATTACTTCCTTCTTTTTTGTCATACAGACAGATTTAACAGTATATCTGATATAACAGATCCCAAATGAAAACGATGAACTTTAACTTTAGTATGAGTAGACCTACAAGAAGATAGACCAAGAAGATAGACCTGGAAGCTCGAGTGCTGTCTCAGCATTCTTCCAGTATTTGCGGTAAAGGTAAAGGTAAAGTGTCACATAGAGACTAGCCTAGACCGAAAATGTTGTCTCTTTCGTTCGTTGGCCTCTGATTTGAGTAGAGATGAGAGGCCTAGTAGTAGGGGCAAAAAGCGCCAGTGTTTGAAAACGAGGCTGAGGCCGGTTGAACGTAAAGCACATGCACGGAGATGTAAGCTTTGTAAGCTTTACTATGTGCTACATAAATAACAGTACAATGTTTTTAAATCAATGTTAACAATATCTGTACTAGTATAAACTTACTATTTATTAATTGAATTTATTACTTACAAATGTTATTCTTCAAATTAGTAACCAATCCGATCGATGTGACCAAAATTCGTATGCAACTGGAGGGGGAGCTCAACTCTGCGAATGCTAGGTCAGCTTACCAGCAGAGATACTACAAGGGAATAATCAGAGGAGCGTTGACTATCGCCAAGGACGAAGGAATCAGAGGATTGTATAAAGGGTCAGATATATAATCCTTTCCTTGCACTTGGAGTGTTAACGAAACCATAATATCGTCTGTTTGGAGCCAGAAGGGTGTTAACTCGTAACATAGAGTTGCCTCCCTTCTGGCTCTGAACAGACAACTAGTTTATTGACATCCCAATGACACCTGTCATGCATGTGTTTATTTAATATGATATGTTTCTCTTGGATCATTGGATGTCAGCAAATTTTTATGATAGTTTTATGAGACGCTACCTTTCATATCTTTGATCCTTACTTTTTACCACTAAATATCAACTATTGTTATATACGCATTTATAAGAATATAATTTTACACATTTACAAGAATAGAACAGTGTGATATATTCAAGAGTGTCTAAGACTGAATCGAATGTTTAAGTGATGAAATCAATCATACAGTGCATTGATTGTGTCATTTTTAACCCTGTACAGTGCATACATTTCCTGAAACTGATATTTACTCTTCATTTTAGAACCATTCAGTAGATTACAAGGCATAAGTAAGACTGTAAATCACACGTTATCAAGTTCAGTATATTGTTCACTCATCCGAAAATGACATCGGAAAAAAACATGGATGCAATTTTCAATGTGTACGAGGTACACAGTTTGCTTGCATTACAATACAGTACATTTTCTTTCTATAATTATGAGCATTATGATGGAGATTATAGAGGAGTATCGAAGTTCAGGATTATTTAATTTTTTTCATGGAAGTTGGTTATTTGATAAATGAATGATCTTTATTAAGATCAGGCAGAAATTTCATATCTTGCATTCTTTCTCTTGCAGAATCACTCCAGCTCTGGTAAGAGAAGCCAGTTACAGCTCCATCAGGATCGGTGCTTATGAACCTATCAAGCATCTCTTTGGTGCTACAGATCCAGCCCACACCCCACTCTACAAGAAAATTGCATCTGGGGCTACATCAGGTATGATATCTCGCACATCAAGATTCTACGCCTCTGATTTGCCAAAACATCAGGCATGAAAGTTCCTATCGACTGCTGGGCAGTGTGGCAAAAATAGTGCCTGGGCTTAGTTAAACTTGTGTATACATTGTGAGGACATGGTAGATGCACATTGAGAGACATGCACTTCTCTTCAGTAAAGTTGCCTTTAAATTAATACATTTTGACAGGCACTTTTTTCCATAATATCCCTTATTAAGTATCAACATGCGGGATGCAGAGAATAAATCAAATATTGACTGCACATTTTGGGGGTCAATGTTAAAACTATAGCTCTTCGATCTCGAACGCAGTGTTTTAAAATTGCCAGCTCTGCCTGATATAATAGGACTTTGGTTGTGTAAGTGAGATTTCTGAGATTTCAGTCTCCTGCCTACCAACCCATTGAAAGGTAATGAATATACATGTTCCCTGCACCACTAAGATTTTAAATAGTAAATTTTCATACCAATAAAACCAAAACGGGATGGACAAGAAACTGAGCAAAGAAGTGGCATAGCCCTGGATGGCCAAATCATTAGTGGGGTTGGAGTTGGTTTGATATATCTTTGTCCCTGTGACATTTGACCACTTAAACTAATGACTATCCGTGCCTTTGGTTGTGTTAGGTGCACTAGGCAGTTGGATAGCAACCCCAACAGACCTGATACGAGTTAGACTCCAAGCAGAGGCCAAACTAGAGCAAGGACAGCAGCCAAGGTACAGGGGCTTCCTGCATGCTTTCACTGATATAGCCAAAGCTGAAGGTCTGAGAGGGCTGTACAGGGGTACCATCCCCACAGTGCAGAGGGCCATGATTCTTACTGCTGCTCAGGTATAGTAAGAGCTTCCTTGAGAAGATTATGTGACATTTGCTCTGGGGCTTACTTCCTCAAAGATACAGGGTTAAGATGAGCATTGCAGTGTGGTTTCAGGTTAGGTTCAGGGGCACAAAGAAGACAAAAGACCTAATGCATGGCTGATCTTCAACGAAACGGAGTTAAGTCTTTTGTTAACTCTGTTCTTTGCTATGGCAGGCAGCCAGTGAAAACGAACTCGTTTGATCAAAATTATTGAAATGCAAGCATTACTTTAAACAAACAGAACTTTGTTATTCCCGGCTCATTTTTCCTGATTGAGGTCTCATATGAAAGGGCAAAAATTGAACTTTTCAGAAATGTGATTTTCTCTTTGAAATTCAGATACCGCCCGCCAAATGACTTTTTGGTTTCCTCTCTTCAAATAGCTTTTAATCACTCATGCGTGAGATATGAATCATATTAGTTGCATCAAATGAAAGAGGAGGATCTAAGCTTTCCAAATATGTGTCATTTATTAATTATAATTGTGATTAAGTTATGATTAAACATCGATAGTTCTCGGTTTCGTTTTTTCTGGGACGAACTGTATATGAAAATCACTTACTGTCATCAAGTCAAAATTCATCAATTTATAGCAAACGTAGGACCTCCATTTTTCAATATGTTTATTTTAGGGGAAAGACAATTGCTATGGCGACAATTGCTATGGCAGCAATGACAACTACTGGAAACAATTTATATCAATGTTGGCATAGTGCGCTGACAAAATGATGCTTGATTGGATGCTAACTCATTTTTTATCAAGATATTTCGTTAGTGCTATTTTTTACAATA